CCCCAAAACCCCAAAACCCCAAAACCCCAAAACCCCTGAGATTTTGGTTTAAATTGAAATATTTTCATAAAGATGCATAACAGCTACTTTGGCTCTTCAGAGGTAAACTTGGTGGGAATTTAGACATTAAGAAATTTTTGAGGAGTTTAATTGTGGTTTAGAGAGAGAAGATGGAGGAAAGTGAAGAAGATATTGATCCCAGGATCAGGTCTTTCATGACTATTGTGAGCAAGGAAATTTCAGATAAATAGCGTTCATAAAAAGGCACAACTCAGAGAGACTCAAGTAACTATAAAAGCTAAGGTATAGAGACGACAAGAAGTTCAAAATGAATTAAGCCGAATCAGAGATTTAGAAGAAAGAATTGAGAAACAAAATGATTTAGCTAAAGAATCTATTGAACAAATGGAAGAACTTGGACCCTATAGCACCATTCATAGAGTTCCTACTGACAAGAATCGGACTCAAACTGTCTTTAGCGAGACTACTTTCGAACGAGAGCCAAAGGAGGAGGAGAAGCTTGACCAAAGTGATGTAGACACTCTGATCACACGAGTTCACCAATATTATGAAAGAATACAGAAAGACGACCAGGATGTCTTCTTTGATTCCAATAATTACATAAATGCTGAGAAATACGACAGCGTTGGTAGAGACTTTAGCATTGTGCATAGGAAAATATCACATCCTCCAAAAGTCACGGTTCAAAGAAGGATCAAGCCAAATGATCCCAGGCCGATGAATTTGGAGACAAGATTTGCATCCAAGAAGTTCTCACCAGGAAAGTATAGATGCTTGAGCTGTGAGAAATTAAAGAAGTTGACTCTTGGTGATTCCATTCCAAAACTACGCCCATTTGCTGATAACCCAACTGTTTTAAAGGATGTCTCAAAATCAGTTAAGAAATCTATTCTCGAGACACAGTTTTTAATGAGTAAAGGAAGACTCAAGAGGGCAAAGGAAGTCATAGAAGATGTCCTTCATGAGGGCTATGAGAACTCGGACGCCTACTTCCTGAGCGGAGAAATTGATAGACAGATAGGTATTATTGCTCAAGCAGAGCAGAAGCTATTGAAAGCTCTCACGTTTCAAGTCTTCACTCCAAAGGTCTACTTCAGCCTAGGACTTCTGTATAATTACAAAAGAGAATTTGATAAAGCAGTAAGATGCTTCAAGAAATTTCTTTTCAACGTCGAAACTCCAGAGGCTCATTTTGAACTAGGTTTCGCTCTTATGGAGCTTAATAGCCCAAGTGAGGCTTGAATTCATTTCAGTCGAGCTATTGTTCTCGACCCTGAAGAGCCAGATTATTACTTAAAGAGAGCGAAATGATATGAAGCCCAAGGATTAGAGGAACTAGCTCAGGAAGACTATGCCATAGTCCTAAATATAGACCCAACTTACCATCTTGAACATGTATCAGTCTTACATAACTCTGAGATGAATATGGATCTAAATACCTCTTTGAAGGAACGAGAGTTGCTTAATAAAATTTTACCATAGCCAATTTTCATTATAGCTCTAGGGGTTTTGGGGTTTTGGGGTTTTGGGG